TGAAAAGTTTCCCTGTAGGTTTGCATATCCACCAAGTCCATCCAACAAGAAGGCTACTAGTGTCTTTGTCCATGAGGTGCTGTTCCATTATTCACTGTTGAGAGAAATAAACATCTCTTAGGCTAAAGGTGCGCATGGGGAAATTTTTACTGGACAGTTAGGGACTCCCACTTCCATATTATTGTGAAGATGGCACATTGCTCCATTAAAGTTGTAAGCAAAAAAAAAAAGAATTGACCAATTTTGGTCAAACTACATGCTTTTTGATTTTCTAAGGAAAAATACACCCCCTCTTTGCAGCTAACAAACTTAAATATGGCATTTCTCTGCAGATTTTAGTGCATAATTACTATGTGACATAAATGTGTCATAACTTTTGTACAGACCAGATGATTTTATGTTTTGCTGTTTTCCCAATATATTAAAGCATTATTATATTATTAGCAAATAAACAGTAATTGTATGCAATAATTAAAAAAGGTAGATTGTCTGTAGTGGACATGTTACCTTATTTTCACTTAGAAAATCAACAACGCATAATTTGACCAGGGGTGCCTAAATTTTGCATAGCATTGTTAATCTTTGGAATCAAAATATTACTCTCAAAGCTGACTGAGCAGGTACTCTGTCCTTGATCTCAAACCTCAATCACATAACTGTATATGTTAGGGTTGTATAAACAAGCCAACTGCTAAAAATGCATGCAACCTCTTGAGTAGAACACTAAATGATACTGCCAAAAAAAAAAAACCCACAGTGAAATTACATGCTTTGTTCATCTACAGGAAAAAAAAACTTAAATATGACTTTTTTAAACTTGCTGAGTTTAACATACTGGAAAAAAATGTGCCATGGCTTTTGCACAGGCCTCATTTGTGTTTTATTTTTTGTATTAAATTCATCAAATAAACAGCAGTTGTGTATTAATATGTGCAGAAGTGTGATTATTTTCACTTGAAAGAATCAATAACCCACCAGGTGTGGCCAAAATATTGCATACAATTGTCCGCTGAAAAGCTGCAGGACCCACCTATGCCCTCTGCACCTCACCTTTTCATTAAAGTCAAGCTGAGTGAGGTACGAAGGGCATAGTTATTCTCACATCTTCCACTAAAATAAGGATTTCTTGGAAACTGTGCCTGGAATTTCCCAGGCGTCATTGTCGGCTAGAATTTTTACACAGGCTCGTTTGGAATATTTGAACGAGGCCACACACGCTGCACATGACTGAGTCCATGGAGGCAAAGAAAACAAGGACGTTACTCACATAGTCTAAACTACAGTAGTAGCTTGGTTTCACTTTTATTCTTGACTTTTGTTAACTTAAGATGAAAGATATGAAAGAAATTCCAGCATACCCTGGAATATCCTGGTACTTAATTTTTGTACATCTAAATGACTAAGTTAGCAATACAAATATTCAGCAGCTTTGTACAGTAAGGGGAAACAAGTGTTCACAAGCTTTTATTTTTGCCTTTTATTTGCTTATAATATTTAATTTTCAGTGCACTTCAACTTGACTTTGTACATGCAAGTTCATATAGGTATGAACAAAAAGTATTCTATGTTATTATACACTGTTATTTTTATATTATATATCCATAAGCATAAACAAAGGTTAAAAGCAAAACTGATCTTCAATTCCGCACGGTGGCGGCACGGTGGCGGCAGTGGGTAGCGCTGTCGCCTCACAGCAAGAATGGCCTGGGTTCGATTCCCGGCCGGGCGACCAGGGTCATTTCTGTGTGGAGTTTGCCTGTTCTCCCCGTGTCTGCGTGGGTTTCCTCCCACAGTCCAAAAGCATGCAGTCAGGCCAATTGGACATGCTAAAATTGCCCCTAGGTGTGACTGTGTATGTCTGTTTGTCTGCCCTGCGATGGACTGGTGACCTGTCCAGGGTGTATCCTGCCTTCCGCCCAATGACAGCTGGGATAGGCTCCAGCACCCCACCGCGACCCAGTAGGATAAGCGGTTTAGATGATGTATGTATGTATAATTCCCCAAGGCTACGAGTGTCACTCTGTTGGACTTGAAATTTCAAGGTCCTCTAAAAATTTTTAATGGGATTCAATCAGGTGATTGGGTAGGTCATGCAGCATCTTCACCTACTTTAAAAAAAACAGTATTGAGATATTTTGGCTGTAAGCTTGGGGTCATTGTCTTGTTGACTTGCTGTCCTGCTCGTCTGCTTTTTCTTGACCAATAAGATAAAATTTCTCTAATATGTACCAGTACATCGCTCCATTCATGACATGTAATGCTCCAGTAGCATTTGCAGAGAAGCAGCCCCATATCATGATGCTCCCACCTTCATACTTCACTGTATGCTGTCCCTAGATCAACCATTCTTTCTCCAAACATGACGAGCTGAGTTGTTACCAAAGAGTTCTATTTTTGTTTTGTCTGAGTACATTGTTCCAAAAGACTTCTGATTTGTCAAAAATGCTTGTGTGCAAATTTTAGATGAACATCTTTGTTTTGGGGTGCAGTTCATTGCTTATTGTTCTCTGTGTAACTACATTCACCCTTACCTTCCTCATCATTAACCTGAGAGAAATCTTGCATGGCACAACTGCCCAGGAACATTTAGTTGTGGGCCCATTCACTTTCGAATTGCATATCATTAAACCACCTGTACTGAAAGACATGCTTAAGGTCTTTGCTAGGGGCTGTGTACAGTTTTCCATTTGAGTGTTGTTTAGAGAACTGAGAACTGGGAACTTTAGGAAGCTACTTCACCTTCACCATGATTGCTAGTTGTTGCTTTAAATCTTCCTTAACAAAGACAAGGTCAGGTGCATTTTGCATGATATTGCATTAAGATGTGGACATTTTTAAGCTATATTGTAATAGTGTCTGAATAATTTTGGCTTTCCTCAATCTTGTTCTTTATTTATAAATACATACTTTTTGGTTCATAATTATAAGCACAAAGTCAAAAGAGATGATGTGTGTCAATCTGAAGAGGACATATGCATTGGAAGTGAATTAAACAACAAAACAAATTAAGTTTTTGTAAATACATTTCCCCTCACTGCATTTACATCAATTGAAATTGATTTTTTATTGTTCTTGGAACTAGAGCTGGGCAATATGACTATTTATCATTACTGTGATAAATTACATTACAATATGCTTTTCTGAGCATATCATGGATATCATCAGTACTTCTAAAATCACAGCCCAATAACATATTTGATTAAAACAAGCATAATTAGTCCTCTTTGTTAGGATTTAGTGCAGTAATGTGTGTGAAATGTTGAATGTGAGTAATTGGATTCAAAGTTTTGACAGTATTTTAAAATGTAACACTACTTTGTCTGTTCTAAATTATCAGATGTCAGAAAAAATTAATATCGTGACACATTGTGCATCAGAAAAAGCTTCCTGAACCACTGTATTAAAAAATTACATTTTGCTCTATCTCCCAGCTCTATTTGGAACCATTATGAAGTACATTCACTCTAATTTCTGTGCTCCCTACTATGTGTACTAGCCATTCAATAAACTTTTAAACCAAGTTGAGGGGGAAAAAATGGGCCATACATTGGTCTAGAGAGAACTGAGAACACATGATTAAAGCTGAGAAAACACTGGCTTCAATAAGATCCATAGGCAGTAACTAACATTAATGACATCTTTTGCAAGGCTTTAATTGTTGCAAGTCTTCATTACGTACACGTGTTATGCCCCTAATTACCGCAGTGGATGTCATAACACTACCAGCTGACGTCATGGCGGTGTGTCCCTCAGAAGCAAAGCCAGGGTCAGAGATGGCCATCCACTTCAGAAAGGAACTCACAAATGGCTGCATTCTCCACTGAATGTGATATAACATAATTAGAGTGCATGTGTTCTGACAGCTCCAATGTCCCTCGCACAGACAGACATCATTTTCCGGTTGGTAAACAGGCGATGTAGCATGAAAAACTTTGATGAGCTCCATAGCACATGCCCACAGTTACAGAGTGATAACTTACACCAGTCAGCCATAACATTAAAAACCACTTTCTTGTATCTATACTCAAAGTCCATTTCATCAGTTCCACTTTGTAGTTCTACGATTATTCACTGTTGTGCATCTATTTCTCTGCATACTTTGTTTGCCTCCTTTTAACCTGTTCTTTGATGGTCAGGACCCCCACAGGACCCCCACAGGACCACCACAGAGCAGGTATTATTTGGGTGGTGGATCATTCTCAGCACTGCAGTGACACTGATGTGGCGGTGGTGTGTTAGTGTGTGTTGTGCTGGTATGAGTGGATCAGACACAGCAGTGCTGAGAATGATCCACCGCACATAAGATTTGCTCTGTGGTGGTCTTTTTGGGGTCCTGACCATTGAAGAACAGGGTGAAAGGGGGCTAACAATGTATGCAGAAAAACAGATGGACTACAGTCTGTAATTGTCAAAGTAAAAAGTGCTCATATTTGGTAAGTGGAGCTGATAAAATGGACAAGAATGTGGTTTTAATGTTATGGCTAATCAGCGTACATCACAATTTGAGTAACTGCTGCCTAACCCTTTTTTATATAATATTAAACATTTCTGAAACACAATAGTAATCACAATCTCCCTGACATGAAATCCTGTTCAGAACATACACTGGCAGTCAAAAGGAATTGCTCACTGTCTGTTCACTTAAATGATGAAAAACCACTGAGATCTTGTGGGGCTACATTTGTGAAATGAATGGAGAAGAAATATCCACACAATATGGATGGTCTGAGGACAGCACTGAAGAACGTGTGGGAAGTAGTTCCTGTAAATCATGTTAAAGCACTTTAGGACAGTATGACAAAGCAGAGTGAGGTAGTCTTCAAGCCTCGGTGACCTACGAAGTGTTGATCTTTGCTAGACTGTCAAAAAATAAAAAGCTCAAAGGTCAGTTTTTGTAATAATAACTGAAGAATGAAGGCAAAATAGGAAACACAGAATTTCAGTTATTAAACTGTGTGGCATTTTGCACTGTCTTGTTCTAATATCTATTATACCTCCTGTAAGTGATCAGACAGTACAAACACATAAAACTGTATGACATGGGCATGTGAGCAATTATTCTTCCCTGCCAGTGTACCTGAGATAATAACAATAATGACTAATCCTCAGATAATATTGGAACAATAACAATTAACAGTCAATTAACTGAATGCAAAGGACAGGGACACTATGGCAGAAACCATATTGGCAATATTCGATTGTGCATGAAGAGGAACAGGCAATTTGACCCAGAAGTGTTGTGAAAATGACCCAAACTCAAGAGGTGTAAGAGAACATTGGGCTTAAACTGACATAAGGGAATAAAATTTTTTGACTTAAAAGCACTACTGCCATCTTCTGATAAATGCCCGAACTACAAAAACCCAAAGACAGGTTTAAGAAAATTATCACTGCAACTATTTTACAACAGCTAAGCAAGTAAAGATAGAACAAGTATAAATAGCTTTTTATTTACACTTTCACATCAATTAATAAACTTCAACTTTATAAAATCATATTGAACCATCTTAAAAAGCTTGGTCATTTGAGGCAACAATAGTCAAAAATGTATAAACCCATTTAGGAATGTTGTTAATTGTATTCTCTAGCTTCAAAGTGAACAGTTAGCATTAGAACTGCACGTTTGGAAATTATTATCATGATACTGGCCTTCAAAACACTAATATATGCAAATTAACGTGTTCCCTGTGCACTGTAACCAATCACAAAGGCTTCTATGAATAAATAAAGTCTTAATTTTCAAAAATAATGCAGGCTAATCTTTAACCACGTAACATTAAGGCTTCGCTGATGTGGTTTTCATAATATTTTTATAATATAATTGCAACAGGCCATTTTGTACATATTGCGCAGTTAGCATTTAGAGCTAATTCATGCCATGCTGCAGTTATTGTCAGTTTAGTCTCCGGGCCCTCCATACAGCCCACATTAAGACTAGTTATTCAGATTTCTTAGAGGAGCATTATATTATATTTTATTTAATGTGTTAGGCAGCATTTTGCAGCACAGCATTGTTTCCCTGTTCTTTTATTGGTTTTACACAATTTACATAGTTACATGATTTTTCCGTTTTGGTGTTTTCGTTCATCAGTGATCTCCCACTACAATATCCAATATGTAAGATGTATTTGCAAAATGCAATTAAGTTAGCACAGCATAGCCTAGCCTAGCTTATGTTTGCTTGCTGGACTTCTTTTTCATGTTTTTATTTATGTTTATGCTTTATTATTTGCATGTATTCCATGTTAGATCTATGTTTTTTAAACCTTCTGCATTAGTGTTCATCCCTGATCTTTTGGCTCTCTGCAAGTAATGTTAGCTATCTGCCTTTCAGCCTGCCTCTCAAAGCAGCTGCAGTTTTTCAAAAGGTCCTCCCACCTTCAAAAACATCATCAAAAGGGTTTTTCCTAGTTATTAAATCTGGAAACTTTCCCTCTAAAGACTACTGTGGCACTGCTTTAGGATGTGAGCAAACAATGACTAATTTTTCACTTAAGCCAGAATGTCCCTTAAATGGCTCGATTCAGGTGTTTTGGGAACTGGAATAGAGCAAAAATGTGTACATTCTGGGAATGAGTTACACAGAACTGGTTCAGTGGTTGTGACCACAGAACGTGTGTCAAAAGGGTATCAAACCTCTAGTTTCCTTCTCATACAAGTCTGGAATCAGCCCTACGGGCGAAGATACCATCATCACAGAGCGTGTTCCTCGCAACTTCACCTCATATTCAATTAACTGTTTCCAGAAACCAGCGTTGGGCCTGATAATCGGTCTTCTTGACTTCACGAGTCCATGTGCCTCCACCAGAGACATGCTGCAGTGTTTCATAAGGAAGGCCAGGCACAAAGTGGCTGAGCGACTCACACCGGCACAGCAGTGCACCACAACCCTACCATGCTGCATCCTCACTTTATCAATTTTGTCCGCCACTGTGTCAAAGTGTTCTTCGAGCTGGGTTTCAGGGGAGTCGGCGACGGGCACCCAGACATAATCAACAGAAGGGAGGCAAGGTTTGCTGTCGTCCAGCGTGGCATTTATAATGCAGTTAATGTTGAGGCGAGTTATAACTGAGCTGTCTTTGGCTGCTTTGGCATTGCCTATGTAGAGGTAGTCGGTTATCTGACCCAGCCCTGACAGTCGGGATCCAGGGACTGACATGGTGTTTCCATCAGGGAGTTACCTACAGAGAACATTTAGGAACATTATTAGTTACCTGCAGTACTTTTAATGAAGTACAAATACTTTGACAAGTACTTTTACTCAAGCACAGACGTGTTGTACATTGTCCAGCAGTGTTGTACATTGTTCAGCCCTGTGCACTGACAAGTGGTCGTTGCAAAAATTATTAGCATGGGTAACATTTGGAACATTACAGCTGTAGCACTTGCAATAGACATGGCTTAATTTGGCTTAATGTACTAAAATAACAACCTAGGAACCTCTCTCACTTGCTACTGGTCATAAGTACTCTCTACTGCTGCAAGGATGAACAAATGTTATGTTAAAGTCGCCATAGAATGGAAAACTGTATTTACATGAGCATAGTTGAGTAAGAACAGTGTCGGTACATAGAACTGACCGTGAACCTGTTACACTGTTGTCTATTTAGTACTATATACACCCCCAAAATATACATACGGCAACAGAGCAACACCAAGAAAATGGCGGACTATGTGCAGAAATGTACTGTTCCAGGCTGCGAAGTGGATGTCGGCAATTTTTATACCCTTTCCATAGAACTTACAACTTTCTTTTTGAAGGCCCGACCAAGGGTAACGGGCATGGCTAATGTTTATCTTTAGATGAGGCTAAAGTAGGCTTCCTATTTTTTTCTAGTTTTTTATTCATGCTTCCCTCTGCTGACAAGCTTTGTGGAGATGCAGATTTCATTTTCCAGCAGGACTTGGCACCTGCCCACACAGTCAAAAGTACCAAAACCTGGTTTAATAACCGCAGTATCACTGTGTTTGATTGGCCAGCAAACTCACCTGACCTAAACCCCATAGAGAATCTATGGGGTATTGTCAAGAGGAAGATGACAGATACCAGACCCAACAATGCAGACGAGCTGAAGGCCGCTATCATAGCAACCTGGGCTTCCATAACACCTCAACAGTGCCACAGGCTGATCGCCTCCATGCCACGCCGCATTGATGCAGTAATTCATGCAAAAGGTGCCCCGACCAAGTATTGAGTGCATATACTGTACATACTTTTCAGTAGCCCAACATTTACGTATTAAAAATCATTTTTTAAATTGGTCTTATATAATATTCTATTTTTCTGAGAAACTGACTTTTGGGTTTTCGTTGGCTGTAGGCCATTATCATCAACATTAAAAGAAATAAACCCTTGAAATAGATCACTCTGTGTTAGTGATGGGAATTCCGGCTCTTTTTAGAGAGCCGGTTCTTTTGGTTCGGCTCACTAAAAAGAGCCAGCTCTTTCGGCTCCCAAGTGGCTCCTCAGATTTTTTGTTGCTTAAATTAATTTATTACCAAATTATGTGTACAATGAATTACTAATGTAAAAACATACATTATATCAAATTCAAGTTTATTATTTATATGGATTTATTTATATACTCAACATGGAACAGAGTGCTCCAAAAATAAATTATAGAATACAAAAAGACCCATCTAAATTAGACAAAAAGGTCCAATCTCTGATTGTGTATATTATTTGTAAATTTGTACAGTGAAACAACAAAACATCACGCAAAAAAATATAAATTAAAATGTGCAAAACAAAAAGAAAAAGCAGCATCCTTTAGCGAAGATTGGCATTCAGAAAAACCAAGGACCTAATCTCAGAGGGGTTGATCCTGTTTCTCCTTTCTGTTATGATCTGCCCTGTTTTGGAGAAGATTCTCTCTGAGGTGACAGATGTTGCTACAATACACAGTCTATAAGCCGTCACGTGTAAGACGTGGGTCTCCCACCAGCTCAGTGGGTCTGCACTTCTCTGGAAAAGGGGCTCCTCGAGATATGATCTCAGTTCCACCACGCGCTTTAACAGAAAAAAAAAAATCGGCTCACAATCAGGAGCCGGCTCCCGTCGTTCACTTCAAGGAGCCAGTTCTTAGAGCCGGATCGTTCGCGACCGACCCATCACTACTCTGTGTGTAATGAATCTATATGAGTCTCACTTTTTGAATTGAATTACTGAAATAAATTAACTTTTCGATGATATTCTAATTTATTGAGATGCATCTGTAATTACATGCCCAATAGTAGTTAAGGTATTCACGGAATACATGACGCATACTGCACTGGTGAAACCGTATAAAGAATAATTAGAAATTTTTTCTAGAAAAATCACACTCTTTACAAATGTGACATGCTCAAAACAGGTGACATTTAACATGGAGTGCATCTCTTATCTAACTCTGCACTTACTTTCTTTTCCTTGGATTTTTCCTTGTCTTAGCTCCATCCTATGAGAAAGCAAGATGTGAGAATACATGTGAGGATGGAAGAATCAATGGCAAAAGTATTAACCAAATGAGACGTTCCTCACTCACTCATCACTATCATCACTTATAACTGGGTTTTAAGGATGTGCTGATAGCAAACACATATCCTGTTATTAGGGTCAATTCTTGAAATATGTGCCTTTTCTGCCTCTGGAGTAAATTCCATCCATCTTATGTGGAATGTGTAGTTTAAAACTGCTTTTAAGAGGTGTATTTAGAAGTATTGTTTTTTATACAAACACATAAATCTAATATAAAGCAGAAGTGCACAACTCTGGCCCTGGACGAATGGTGTCTAGCTCAGTTTGGAGACTTTCCTGCTCAAACAATCTGATTCAACTCATCTCTCAAGTGTGCTTAGTAGGTGTGTTTAAATAGGGAAACTAAAACACTGTGCTGATATTGACATTACCCCTGATATAAACACTGAACCAGTATGTAGTATTTCCGCTGTAAGAAACGAACCCAGTATAACAGGGGTGCCCAACCCCGGTTCCGGAATCTACCACCTTAGCCTATATTACCTGAAGCTTGGGGCTAAACTCTGCAGAGAGGTAGATCTCAAGGATCAGGATTGGGCACATGAATTCTGTAACATCAGTTGCATGATTCGTATCATATTTGGTAGTGTTGTTTTTAGTAGATTGAGCCATGTTAAACTTTTTACATATAAAGGGTTTAAATAGGAAGAAAAAAGCTTTACATAAAAATGATTACTTTCTTTTTGGATCACAAGCTCATCCTTTCAGCAGTAGAGAGTACCTATGACCAATAGTAAATGAAGTTTGGTGTTACTAGATTGTTTAGTACATTAATGGGGATTTCCACTGATTTTTCAAAATATCTGCATATTTCAGTGGTTGAGATGTAAACATAGTCATTCAGAGTGGTTTTGTGGTAAAATGGTTCATTTGTAGAGAAACTTGCCAACTCTGACTGCTTTACAGTGGTGGTGATAGGAACCAGGGGTAACAATGCCTACAACACAAGTCTAGCGATTGTATGTACTAACTAAAACAACCAATGAACCTACGTGTCCTCTGAGCTTTTTATATGTAATGTTGATGATGGTCAAATCAAGGAAAATCTAAAAAAAAATAATAATAATAAGTCGAGACTATTTTACCTTACAATGCCCTGCGTGTGACCCTCCGCCAAGAATGGATAAAAATAAATGGATTAACAAGACGTTTTCGGCCAAAACTTTTATTACAAAACTATCATAAAATAATGCCTTAGGCATCAGATAGTGTATACATAACCACTTTGTGTAATAACTTCTGTGAAAGAGCTTTTAGAGATATTAGCTAAACTCAGACGTCAGACGTCTGGTTCCTATCACTACTGTGAACAATTCTGACTCAGTAAGTTTCTCAAGAACAAAGCATTTCAGATCAAACCTTTGGATAACTTTGTTTAACGTTACATTTTAGCCAGTTAATTATGTAGAAATAAAAAAATGGTGACCAAAGAAAACCATTTACTGACATTGACCTCTACACTTTTAGTCAAACTCTCCGAAACCTGAGGTGGGTTAACGTTAGTAAGCGCCGCTAAACTAACAGTTAACCACTACCGTTGCCGTCTCGCTAGTGTTAGCTACGCTGCTGGTGTTAGCCGTGCAGCTAACCAAGCTAGCAGAGAGCAGTGATGAACTGACAGCAGACTGAGAATTTGAATGAACATTTAAGTGCTTACCTGTTACATTATATACACATTACAATATCTGGTTAAAGCAGCGAAACAAGCAGACTTCGTTTTAGTCCTCCCGGTGCTCTAGCCTGGCTACGTATACAGCGTAGCGACATACTTTCCGTAGTAACTACGTTGTCTCAGACGGGTCAAATCGCGTTGTGGTTTGGTCTATGACTAACGCACAACAACACTCACTGTCTTTTTACTCATGCGTTAACGAAACACACTTCAGACGTGTAGCATTGTAAGATTTATTAAATAGTCGATAAGCTCCTACAGACGGGATGGACCACAACAAATAGTTCTATTGGTAACGATTTCGAACGGTTGAGAGACTGTCTCATCTTCAGTACGTTAAGTTTTTGAGGCTGTTTCCAAATAGTGGAATGAATTGCCTTGATTTTGCCCGATCTTGTAATCATGTGGATCTCCATACAATGCAGCTCTGACAATAATATGTCGTGAAGCCGTCTGATACAGATCAGGCAAAATCAAGGCCTACAGATGGGAAAGGAAATTTCATTCAGCTGTTGTGACGTAACTACTCCATGTTCTGTGGACACTTAAAGATTTGTGGATATAGTGAATAATCGTCTGTTTGTTACCATTATTAGCCTGATTTACGACACTGGTTTATGTCGTGTATTCGGCTAAGTGCTGAACCAATGATAGAAAAAGGGTTTGTTCTGAATAAAAATATAATCTTTAGACTCTGTATGCTCAAACTTCATTTACAGCTTAGAACTCTCTTATTCGTTTCTCTCGGCCATCTGTCTTTTGTTACCAGAAAGAACAGTTGCGCCCCCCTTTGGTTTTTTTTTTTATAACAGCGGAATGAGGCCAACTAACTTCTTAATGTTTTAACTACAGTCTTAAGATGGTTCTTCAAAGGTTCTTTAGTAAAGAAAATGGTTCTACAGAACAATGAACACTCAAATAACCCTTTGCATGATTAAAGGCTGCTCTGCATCATGGATTCTTTAGATTGACGCAGAAAGTGCTGTCAGGGGTTCCATATAGAATATTATATATAGTATTTTTCAAATGTGACACCACGTGTTCTATTTTGTCTGTTCCAACCAAATATTGTGATGCATATTGTGTATTGTGAAAATGTCTTGAAGCATTGTGATATATTTCACCTCCCCCTCCTACCAACCCCACCTTTCATCAAGGGAAACGCTCAACTAGCTCAAAGGGTCTCTGGAGAGCCCCAATACCAGATTTCACCGGGAAACACATTACAGTATAGCAGGAAATCTGTTGTGATTTCTGATTTATGTTGACTTTAAAGAACACCAAGACAACAAGACATGTAAAAGCATAAGAGGGGAATAAAGCCATGCATGTTTGCCTTCTTCTGTGCATGAAGAATCCCATCTTCAGCTGAATATGAATTAAGTGTGTGGGTTGAGGCATTTTAATGCTCTTTCTAATGGATCATTATGAATATTTCTGTGCATTTCCATACCCATTATTAGTATGTTATCTATACATAGTATTAACAATTTTAAATGATTTTAAAACCAATTTTAGACACAATATCCCGAGTGAATGCATAGGAAGGGTCACTGTAGGTCATTTGACAAAGGATCTTTTTTAGTGTGTCTACAGGCACTGGTAGTGCTCCACTTAATTTAGTTTATATGGACCATTATACTAAATTAGTCCAAACTATGGTCCCATAGTAAAGACTAAACAAAAACAGTTAAGTATTCCGACCTTAGATATTTACAGTGATTATGCTGTGATCTATTTAAACATTAATATATAGATAGTAATAAGCTAAATATATGAAAAAAATATACGTTTTGTTTTTTTTTTTGCATTTTTTTCAATGTTACTTTTAAAAAAGTAGTAAAATTGAAATATAGTACAGTATTTGTATTATACTTTATTTTTAGTATGTAGTGCCCTGCGATGGACTGGTGACCGGTCCACTGTGTTTCCTGCCTTCCGCCCAATGACTGCTGGGATAGGCTCCAGCTCCCCTCACGACCCAGAAGGATAAGCGGCTTAGAAAATGTGTGTGTGTATTATATAGTATAATATAGTATAGTAGCTAACATAATTTCCACACACAACAGAGGGATTCGGAGAATAGGCCCTTTTAAAACAGTGCCAGTTAAATCTGCGAATCTGAAGTCCTGCTAAAGCAAGTCTTTTTTCCTCCTCATGTTCTCCTTATGAATGACAATTGTGACCATGCCTCACTTCCCGTAAGCCTTAAAACACGCAGGTAATCCTCCTTTATGAATACGCAAATGTGTTACTGTCACACTGTTTGCTTTTAACGTCACTGTAAATGAATCTGGTCCAAAGAGTTTTAGTCCATAGGTGGAGTCTTATTTTAGCCACATCCTTGCATTTTAGAGAGGAAATGAGACTGTATCCCTGTTCCTCATGGCCACATGGTGAGCAGTTAGATCCCATTATTTTAAAGTAAATGTGTCCGAAAGAATGTTATGATTGTGTGTGTGCTCAACTGTTCAAAGCTGTGTCAAGTACTGGCTAGTGTTTTTGAATTCTGCTCAAAATGAGCTTAAATTGCAACATTGCAACAATTAACTATGTTCAAAAACCTGAACATAACTATTGTTCAAAAACCAGCAGCTTCATTTTTTAAAGACATGCCAGTATTAGTATTCACAGGGTCATGAGGAACCTATACACAAAAATGTATTTTATATGCAGGTATTGAAATACCAGTTCAGTCATGCTTTTCATGGATGTAGGTACTCACCAAAACTTATGATTACTTAAGGAACCTGTTAGAATACAAGAGGAGTTTGAAAAACCCCAGAAAAGTGTTCTTGAAATAACCCCTTTCAGGCTTACAAGTTCTTCTAGGAACCTCCAAAGGTACTTAAGGGCTCAATCAAAAGAAAAGGGTTTCTCTAGTTACCTAGTGCTAAAGCGGGATGGAATCTAGTGAGGTTTCTGCAAGAGCTTGAAGAGTGTCAAGGGTTCCTCTGATAACACAATGAAATGGGAGTTTTTTCGAGGCACACAAAACCTTTAGTTTTTACAGTGAGGAGTCTTGTTGAGAGTGTTTTATGGTACAACAGATCCATTTTTTTGTGGCTAAGGGTAAAATTAAGCTATCTAGGACTGCGAATATGGCTGAAATAATCATGCATCACAAGAACAGTTAGCTGAGATTTGTCTTTTAGAGGAAGAAAGCTCAGCAAATTGTGGGAGATCCTACCATGGGCCACAAAAACAATTTTAAAAATGTATTTTATTAGTGAATGTGCACTACAACGCAATGCTTAACAACACCCTAGCAACTACCTAGATTACCCTAGCAACCACTTGGCATACTATAGCAACTGAAAAGCGACATCTTAGCATCTTAAGCTGTGCAATCACTCTGCATTTTATTGAGAAAATGCACTTTTCCAATTCCTTATCTGATTTCTCTGATTCATTTTTGAGCTATTTACTAATATTATAAAACCCTTTTTAATGCAACACTCTGTATCTAAAGCTTGTACGTGTTTATGCATATTGTATTTTTATAATATGCTTGTCTGTTTTCTGCTGTTTTATTTATGCTGTGTGGTGATGCCAAAGACAAATGTCCAGAAATTGATGATACATTTTTATTCTATTCTGTTCTTTCCTGTTTTTTATATATTGATATCTGGTTAGCAAAAGCAAGGATAATACTGTATGGTAATAGGCACAGACAGGCTACTCATTGCATAAGAAAAGAGAAAAAGGACAGACTGACAGACAATTGATGCAGCTGCCAGCCTCAGAAGGGTTTCTGGTTTCAGTCTTTGTTGTGGCTGAACAATAGACTTAAATGGCTCCTACACTGCCCACAAACAACAGACTGTAGACTATGATTAACATGGGCTCCACATCTACACACATACTGTCAAATATGTTGGTAATATGGACATTTATACTCTAAACACTGTAAAACAAACTCTCAGTCAAAAAACATAAGGAGCTGTGAAAACGGTGAAGTTAGGATGATATGAGTGGGGACAAATAGGCCTGCTTGCACAATTATGCAATAATTTCTCAGAATATAATGTAAAAACATATGACCATAAAATTACATATTCAAATTATCAGTACTGCAGCGAGTGACAGCAGTAAAACAGTGAACTGTTTTGATTTAAAAGGCCTATATACTATACATCAACACATTTTCAGCTTGAAAGGAATTGGTAAATAAGTCATTAAATAATTCACAAATTAAACTGTGGAAGAATAGAGGGAATGAAATAGGTAAAAACACAAATGAGAACAAAAATTAACACTTGATGTAGTAAATATATTTGATGGTGTGGTTTATGCACTGTGTGAAGTACGTACCTTAACCGTAGCCTACCTAACACCAAGAAGTGGCTTAAAAAGTAATCAGTAGTCTATTATTTTTAGGATCTTCGACCTTTGTCCTGAATTTGCCTTTGAAACGTCTCTGCTCTGCCTCAATGCACAGGCGGCGCAGATGGCTGCTGTTCATTCTCTATTGTGAAAGGCGAGCAGCCATGGCAGCTGGACTCCCCTCACACACACACACTCTATTCACACACCTGCGGCTCGTGTCATTAATCCTCTCGTCTACAGTCTCTTTGTTCTTTACTTTCCACCCCTTATTTACTCATGTGTTAGCTCCTCATCCCCCACATGCTTGTCAGCATTGTGGTTATGGGCAGCACATCTGCCCACATTCTTACTACTCTATGGTCAAAATGTCACAAATCCACAACAGTAACCTTTTACTTTATGTGACATTGAAGCAGTAGTTAAAATGTGATTTTCTAGAAATAGACATACTTTTTTTGTGGTCTATTTTCTCTGCTATGATCCTGTCACCTTAATAACCCTTACAGAACAGTCACATTTACTTCACGTGATCATATTTGAAGTGTTATAAAAAAGGGGTTAAGTCACATAATGTAAATAATAAGTGATCACGTGACATAGTGTGAACAATATGTGAACAATATGTGATCATATGGGAAATCATGTGAATGAAATCGTGTGACAGTGTGAATAATATGATCACATGTCTGAATAATGTTATCACTCAATGTGAATGTCATCATGTACCACAATGTGAATAATATCGTGACATAATGTGAATAATATGTAATCACATGCGACAGTGTGAACAATGTCATCACATGGCAGTGTGAATATATATGTAATCACGTAGTAGCGTGAATAATATGTGGTCACATGTCTATGAATATTGTTATCACGCAATGTGAATGTGATTGCGTGACACAATGTGAATAATATGTGATCACATGCAACACAATGTAAATAATATGTCATCACGTGACACTGGCTAATATGTGATCACATGTCTGTGAATAATGTGATCACAACGAGAATGTGTCATCATATGTGACGGTGCGGACAATAGGTGATCAAATGTGACATGAAAAATGTGATCAGGTGACAATGTGAACAATATGTAATCACATGTGACTGCTGATATGTGATCACGTGTGACATCTTTTGAACAATGAGATCATGTGACAAAGTGAATACGCGATCACATGTGACAATGTGGATGTGAAAACGTTTCGTTATTTCCTGAAATGGCACGTTATCACATTTTTCCATGTGGTCTCAAGCACGCCTGAAGCAATGTGTTTTATGTTTTTTACACGATGACATATGATGTAGAAATCTCAATATGTTACATGAAACTACACATGCAGAAAGTGCAAATGGATGAATCATGAAGTGACAAAATCATAACCGTCTAAAAAACATTATCAAGTGATAATCATGCGACTTTTCTGGAAGGGAACGTTGCAATAATGTTGAGACAGAATGTTGAACATTTTCAGCTACTTCGTGCTGCTTAACCAAACGTCAGTATGGTGTAGACTTGTCTTCTTGTTCAGGTGCTGGGCTATAAATACTGCAGGGATCTCATTTTTAGTACAAACCAGGCTTCAACAACAGCATCATTTCCATTTGGTTGCCAAGGAGACTGAAAATATATTCCACATCTTCTTCCTCCACAGGGAGGACAGACAGCGAGGTGAGAGGGGGAGAAAGCAGAAGACGTGCGGGAAAGGGGAGGGCTTCAGTCTGCCCAGCCGATGCTAATCTTCACCATATCAGATGTTTGAACAGCCTCGCTGGCTGCAGTGCTCAGATCACAGGCTGCTGCAACAGCGAGTTAAAACGCCTGGTCACGTGGGAGCTCACTGAAACACAAAAGGTAAACCGACTCATCTATTTACAGCATTTTAATACAAGTTTAACATGTTTAATCAAATTGCCTGTTGTTTTAGCACCTGCATCATTGAATTAGCACCTGCAGTGTTCTTTAAAAAGGCAGCTGGACGCTGTAAGTGTTAAGCCAACACTGGGTATTTTCTTGTGTATTTAAAATCAGATTTTCTAACATTTTTTTTTCTCTACAGGTCAGGAAAATGGACGATAAATCAGACGTAGCGGTTGATAACCCAGTTTCTGTCCTGCTTTTAGGGGGTGCGGTGATGCTGCTGAAAAAAGAGGTAGGAGTCAGTGGTACATGGTTTAGGTATACTCTTAAAAAAGATGTTTCTTCAGGGGTTCTTTAGTAAAGGCAATGGTTCTAAATAGATATATAGAACCATTTGCATGTTTAAATGGTTGTATGGTGAAATGGTTCTTCAGACTGATAGAGAATGTGTTGTATACGGTTCAATATAGAACCTTTTTGAAAATGGTTCTATATAGCACCAAAAAAGGTTCTTCTGTTGCTTCAAGCTTGACATCATAACAATAGCAGAACCCTTATGGTGCGACATACAACCATTATTAAAAATATTTTATATAGAACCATATATAATACATTCTCTATCAATCTGAAGTACTATGCAAAGAACAATTTGAGCATAAAATGGCTCTATATAGAACTCACGGTTCTAAAAGAACCCTTCCCTTTACTAAAGAATCCTTGAAAAACCATCTTTTTTAAGAGTGAATAGCCTGTGTGTTTGTATGATACCACTCATATTAGGATGTGACATGATTGGGATAATTCAGATCACCATCTTATCTAGTCATCTCAGGAAAACTGATCAGATTTAACTAAGTTGCAAAAATAATATAAATATATAAATGCAATCCAAACAGATGTAAAACATGTCATGCTTTATTTTGGAAATGCACCCACTCAGTAAATGTAGGCTATGTTCCTTTGAATCTCCTAAATATTAAATATTCATAAGCAGAGCTGCCTACGATATGCGTCATCCAGTTTTGTCGGCAGGCTCAAGGGATGGAGAAGAGGGATGGATTAAAGTAAAAGCACACAGAGAGTAGGCAGAGGCAGGCTGCTGAGAATAATCATTAACGACAGCAGTTTTGACAAATTCGGAATGATTGCTTACATGCCTGATCTTGTGATGCCTAGGCGCGCATGTCCACTTACGGTAGCCTAAAACCTGGCATAATTATTCAGGTTTAACATAAAACATACACTGGTGGTTGGTGCTTTGAGCTTATACAAAAGGAAAAAAATGGCAAAATATTGATATTACAGATCAGGACATCCAGCATCAGACGCTTTGAAGGATGCCCAATGAAGATGTCCTGAAAAGGCAGGCCAGTAGATTAAGGTGAGTTCTTTTGGTACCTCCTAATATATGTATTATATGTACATTGTATTGTATATATAGTGCCGTTCAGCCGTTCACTGCTATTAAAGAAGACAGCTTTCGCACAAGTTGCGGTGCTTTATTAACCAGCTGTTGTTGGCCACAGCTACTCAATTGGCAGGGAAAACAAGTCAGTGGCTTGCTAAGACAAAGTTTTCTTTAAGTATAATTGTCAAACATAATTCCCCAAACATGGCAAAAGCCAAAATCACACCAAAAACTTGATAATTCAGTGGCGGCTACTGTAGAACCCCAATATACCTAGTTATCTATTAGCTAACATCTTGACGACTTGGAGGTATAGGCATATAATTCATGTTTTGCCATATAATGAATTGTAAATAACTTGATGATTTCCAGCCTATTGAGAACTTTCTAGCGTATCGCCTACCTACATGAACACCTTGAGTGAACTCACTATCAACACTGTTGGCAAAAACTACTGTAAAAAAAAAAGGCGAAGTAATCCGAAGCAAGGTTCCACCCTGCATCTCCAACCATCAGTAACAAAAACTGTTCAGTGCTGGCATTTTTACCTTTTCAGTGAGCCCATTTACTTCTAGAGGCTTCCTTCAAACCCTTTGGAGACACCTCTTCATGAGAGTTCCATCTCTCTGACTAAATCAGTGTTTGTATTGTAGCTGCACACAGTGTTGCCTTCCATTTTTTGCTGCTCTCCTCTACTTCTTTCCTCTGCAGGTGAGCCGTGAACAGGCAGTATTGGCAAGAAAATGCCCCCTCCTTAGCTTTACTTTAGGGACCTTCACCTTGCTCCCAAAAATGCAAAATACACTCTATCAAGACAGGTAAGAGTTTCATGATCACAAAAATATGTGAGAATTTGTGAAAAAATCAGCTAGTAATCAACTGACCACCTACCTCATGGCAGACATTATCTAAGCAGTTACTTTTTTAAATGTGACTTTGACTCTGTTGTTCTATGTAGGAACTATACTTGATAAGTGCCCAAAAATACATTCATAAATTCATTCCACCAGCACACCAGCTGTGTGGTCATTAAAAAAATCTGAATGTGAATCTATATATGAGTGTGGTAGTTGGGATTTGTCAGCACCTATTGTGGCATGAGGCTCTGCGAATTTTTAGGGTTGTTTTTACTTTATGTGCTACTTAAAGCATTATAGCATTACCAACAGTAATACTAATATCAGATTTAAAGTTCTGGATCTAATGTTTATAAATGAGCTAATTTAATTTCAGGGTGATCTTAGTGATCTTAGGCATGTTAACGTCTTCACTCAGTATTCTGCTTGCTGTTTGCCTCCCTTCAGTTTGATTTTAACCTGACTTTCTCTACCAAGTAAGGCATCTTATTTTCTGCTCTTGCAGATGTCAAGTGGCAGAACATCCATGCTGATCGCCCTCGAATTCCACAGGACTATACAATCATGTTATTGCCAGGGGAGATCCATCAAACCTTCATTTGTGTTAACCCAGAGCCTCTCTTTGTTTTCTGTAGAGCTTTCTTTGCTTTACAGAAAACAAAGAGAGGCTCTGGGTTAATACAAATGAAGGTTTGACCTCGAGTTTTGGCTTTTGTGGAAACATCAACACTTGGTCTAAGGCCAACCAGCCTCTTTTCCTGGGCTTAACATCAAACTGCTGACTTATCAGTGGCTAGTTAACAAACTCCCATTCTAAAACTCAGCCCCAAAACTGTTAGCCTCTTCAGTTTGTATGACAGTCAGTAGCTTGATATTGGCACACGGGTAAATCTGCTGATTATGGATCAGCTTTCCTAACAAGATATGGAAGGTATAACGATCCTAAATCACTCTGAGAAGGTAACAGGCCCCTTCTTATGTGTTATTTTCAGCATCAGGCAGAAGTGTCTCTTGAAAATGATGGCATTCTCTATAATTGGTGGTTCCACACCTTAGACTTACTGTACCTGTGGAGTAGGGTTAGGACATGGAAAAATAAAAATGCACACTGAATGCTCTTCATTGCTCTCCAGCGCTCTAATGCCTGTCTTTCCCTCAACTAATACTAATGCCTTTTAGGAAAGGATTAAAGGGAATTGTGGGCTAAAGTATGGGAACCTGTTACTATTGTATTATTTGAGTAATAATACCTGCATAATATTTACTACATTTGACATATTGGCACTTCTGAATGGCAACTTTTCACAAATTAGCAATGAAATCATAGCCCTCAATGACCAGACTGTCCTGTTATCCTTGCCTCATATGGAATGGATCTATACTCTTTTCTTTCCTCTTCTTTGTTCTTCTCCTTGTGACCAACGAAACTGACTCCTAGCTTTGAAGCTTACAGCACTAACCCTGGATATTTACACTAACCTCTGCTATGCTTGTATCTCCTTGAAAGCTACAGCATATTAGCCTCAGTTGAAACCGCCTTGAAACTTCTTATTACTAACAATTTCTAACATCACTAACAAGGTTATGCGGGCTGAGATGGCTCAAACTAATACAATCATAATAGATGCTTCTGTACACTCTTAAAAATAGACGTGCCAAAGAGGGTTCTTTGGAGTCACGTAGGAGAACCACTTGCTTCCTAAAGATCCTTTCAATGCATGGAACTATTTTTGTAAAATAATGTGTAAAGAATCTTTTGGAAGTTTATTGAACCTCCACATTATGTAAAGGTTCTATAACAATTAAAGGTTTTCCCTAAAACTGTACACCCACACCAAGAACTGAGAGCCTTTATTTTTAAGAGTGAATTATAGAGGGAACTCCTTGTATGCTTGAGATTCTGTGGTAGGACGTGTTCTCAAGATCTGTATGCAGAATGTGTATTTTCTATGGATGATGCATGTAGTGCCAAAGATGCTCCACACAAATTGTGATGATGGAGCACAAATTTACTAACCGTACTACAATGTGCCGCTGCTTTAGACGCAATGATTTGACGCTTCTGTCTTGCAACTAACCCTCAGCCTGATTCTCTTCCCATCTCTCCTACTCTGTTTCATGAAGTGTGGATTGGTGGGCAAATGTTTTATTCCCATGGTGGCCCAAAAAACAGGTAGGGGGGAGAAAGGAAGACGTTACTAACAGATATTAACCAACTAACTGCATTAAAACCTTTGCATTGAGCGCTTGACGTCTAATGTTCCTCTCTTTTCTCTTCCATTATCCTTCCTGTCTTCAGCGCTGCCACTGACTTCCATTCCTTCGCATGTTTGTGCAAATCTTACTTTTTGAAATGGTTTTGGTCATGTATATAAGATTGACAGACTAATCAACTACTCACTGCAAAATAACATGTTCTCTGCCAGTGGTGATTGAGTGCTTTATTTACTAACTTGTGAAAGTTAAATCTTCTCTTCTACTAACCAGTGCACTCTCTTGCTTGGTCATGCAGACTTGTCTTAACAATGTGGAGATGGTCCTGTCGTTCTTTGCCTTTATTTGTTTTGTCCTTAAACTTACACAAGGTGAAATTGCAACAACATTCATGTAAAATGAACATTTCATATCGATTAGGCCTGAATGGAAGTCCTGACGGTTAAGTTTACTGCCCCAAAGCAGTATCAATACATGGAAGTTGCTGCAATTGGCCCAGTACTCACTTGGACAGATTTCCCTATATGTGTGGAAAACACGTAATTGAGGCCTTCTCTGGGGTAACCAGGAGCCGTGCACTAACATACTAACAACAACTAACCAACTAACAGAATGGTTTTCTAACACACTAACTGGTAAATTATACACAGGCTACTGTTCCTGTGAAATACTTAAATTCAGTGTTCAAGACTACCAAATGTCTGTGTTGATAATAACGTTAAACCTCATGGAAGGTGAGGGTCGTACGGGGCATGCACAAGCACAGGGCAACCCAGGGAAAGAGTCTTGTTGGCCTTACCATGAGTTTAAGGTGTTATTTTAGAATCATAAGCATTTTTATTTGGGGAAAAAAATGAGTTTCTTTACAGTCTGTGAAATATCTTGTGAAATATTTTGATACCAAAATGATATGTAAAGGTTGTATTAAAGTCATGCTGATGAACAGCTGAAGATCTCTTAGTTTTCACTTGAGTGGCTTGCTTTATAGTAGCTATGTTGCTGTAGGGCCTGAAAGCAGCCAGCAGACATATTTCACCTAAATACAGCTTGATGCACCATGCTGGTTGATGACAACACTTTTTTGGACTGCAAAATGCTGACCATATTGATGTGTGCTTGTAGGCGTCCATTTTAAGTGGGTATACGGATGAAAGGTCAATGCATAAACATACACCCTTTAAATATCTTTAAAACCAGAATCACTTTTACCTTTCTGAAAGAGCCCATTATTATAAAGGTACACTGGTTAGAAATATGCTTTCAAATTACATACATTATTGGTACAAAAGTAATCACATGTTAATAAGAATAACCTTTTTATAGCAAATATGATGATTAATAAAGGCGAGAAATATTAGCTTGTGACTCAGACCAAATGATTGCTGTTTTTAATGTAAAAATTAGCACTGACACTGATCATGATTTTTTTACAACCATATTGGCCAAAGGCTGACTTTTATCAGCCTTTTTGTTAAAAACCCAAAGCTTACACTGTGTGGGCTAAATGAACACATGAAACACTACACTCTTAAAAAAGATGGTTCTTCAAGGGTTCTTTAGTAAAGGTAATGGTTCTATTTAGAATCTTGTGATCTATACAGAACCATTTTATGCTTAAATGGTTCTTTGCATAGTGAAATCGTTCTTCAGATGGATGGAGAATGTGTGGTGCATGGCTCTATATAGAACCTTTTTGAAAATGGTTATATAAAAGCACCATAAAGGGTTCTGCTATTGTTATGATGTTAAGCTTGCAGTAATAGAAGAACCCTTTTTGGTGCTGTACAGAACCATATACAACACATTCTCCAATAATCTGATGAACCATTTCACCATGCAAAGAACTTACGGTTCTAAATAGAACTATTGCCTTTACTAACAAACCCTTAAAGAACCATCTTTTTAAAGCATATTTAAGCATAAGCGTATGTGTAGCATATTTCTAGTACTTTTTGTTAGTCAGTGTCTCAGTGTAAACTATACAAATATTATTATTTTTATTTTTTTTTTTTTATGGGCCAAACTGGCATTTTACATTCTTAAATGAAAAAGGCAAAATCAAAATGCTAGCCTGAAAGTAAAAATGTTAGAGGCAACTGGCTATTTAGCACAATGAGTTGTGGATAATTCTGCTATGACATTATGGTACTGGTGTAACAACAACATTCAAATACAGCTTGAGCGTAAATCTTAAAATAATTAAGTATTGATTGCATATTTGGAGTAAAACTCCGATCTTGGCTTAATCTGATTGGGCATCCCTAGTAAAAATCCTACCACTTGCACTTTTTAACATATCCTTATCAAAGGCAATCCCTTATATGTTATTAAATTGTGCCACCTAGTGGTCTACTGTGGGTGCATATCAATGTTGGAAGGCAACAACACTGAGCAGTTTTTATTTAACACTTTTGATGGACTTAAATTATAGTACTGAAGTACCTAACAATACAGTTGTCATAATATAAAACAACTTTACCTCTAATTTTGGCAAATTTCTGAGAGAGATTTGGGAATTCTTTCTGTCATGAAATTAATCTTAAAAACCAGATCCTACTATATGAAGAGCTGTCTGGAACACATTGAATTCAACTTTTTCTTCAGCCATCACAGCTACAACATCTGCGACTACACAAAATCAGTGAGACACAGAATCTCAGTCTCATCTGCAAAGGAAATATATTTCCATATATTTAAACAAAACATTGAAATTGAATTGAAAGCCTGGTTCTAATAGTCATGGTTTGCCACTGACTTCTCTATACAGTCAGGTCCATAAGTATTTGGACAATGACACAATTTTTTAAATTTTGCCTTTGTACACCACCACAATTGATTTGATATGAAGCACTCAAGATGTGACTGGAGTGCAGCTTTAATACAACAAAAATAAGTTTAACAAAAATATTGCATTAACCGTTTAGGAATTATACCTGTTTTTTACATAGTTCGTCCATTTTCACAGACACAAAAGTAATTGGACAGTTCACTGAAAAGCAGTTTCATGGCCAGGTGTGGCCTGTTTCCTTGCTACTTCATGACACTTTAAGGAGATAAAAGGTCTGGAGTTCATTCCAAGTGTTGAATTTGCATAATGATATGCCATCATTAGGCTGAAAGAACAAAACAAACTTAAATGACTGAGGCAGTCACCTGAGCTCAACCAACTGAGCATGCTCTTCACTTACTGAAGACAAGATGGCTGCAGTAAAGGCCTGGCAAAGCATTGCAAAGGAGGAAACTCAGCATTTGTGATGAACTCATGTGATGTCCATGAGTTCAAGACTTCAGTCAGTCACTGACTACAAAGGATCCAAGTATTAAAAAATAATCCTTGTATTTATAATTGTTTGTCCATTTACTTTTGAGCCTGTAAAAAATGGATG